AAGATCTTCTCAGTTTTTATTTTCTGTAGCTTGCACTGTATGCTTCCTGGGAAGCCAAGAATATTTCTAAGTTGTGTTCTAGGGTCTGCTTTGGTAATAACAGTTATGAAGTGCGTCGAGCATGTTGTAGAGGAGGATGTGCTATGTTTAATTCAATTTATTATTATTATTATTATTATTATTATTATTATTATTATTATTATTATTATTATCATTATTATTATCATTGTAATGATAATAAAAGTAGTAGTAGCAGGAGGAATGTGACTTATTCCTGATGCACATTCTTTTACCATGGTTAAAGCTACAGGTGCTAAGGCTTGGACAGTTATTAAGAGAGAGAAAAGTGTTGCTGCATTGAATGATCTGTTTGGACTTTAAACATGGTATGGGTTTAACGCCCCTATCAACACTATTAGGTTATTTAAAGGGCGGGACCTCCTAGTTTAATGTCCGTCTTCGATATGACCAAGCCAAGCGGGAAATTCGTGTAAAGTGCCTTTCCCAAGGACACAAGGTCGGACCGAGCTGAGGTTCGAACCCCCGAATCGGCAATCTCACGATTACGAGTCCAGTAGCTTAACCACTAGGCTACTGACGCCACTGTTTGGACTTTGATCTATTAACAAAAATAATATCTCTTGCAGGTTGTCATCGTCCTCATTCTAGTCATTTGGAAATGACCATCTAGGTCACATTTCATGCGCTAACTGACAACTCTTATTCAAAGCAAACTTTGATGTTTGAAGGGCAAATAAGTCCCTTATTCTCATTATGACTTTAAGCAGTATCAGAGGAACTGCTTTTATTTATAGCAAAACACCTCTTGAACCTCTTCAGCAGCCATAGACATCTTTGTTCTGATTAAGTGTGCCCTTTTTTGTTGAAGTCATATTTACCCTCCATATATAATATTTAACTCCCAAAAAGACTCCCGAAAAGACCCCCCCAAAAGACCATAAAAGACCCCAAAAGACCCCCAAAAGACCTGAAAAAAACCTAAAAGACCCAAAAAGAGACCCAAAAAGACCAGAAAAGACCCAAAAAGACACCCGAAAAGACACCCGAAAAGACCCGATAAAACCCGAAAAGACCCGAAAAGACACCCGAAAAGACCAGAAAAGACAGTGGAAAAGACCAAAGAAGACACGAAAAGACACTAAATGACCCGAAAAGACATACATGGTTTATTTATTTTTTTATTTATTTGTTGCTTATTTATTGCTACTGGCTACAAAAATAAGCAACTTAACATAGCCACGTGGAATGTGAGAACAATGAACCAAAAAGGCAAATTAGGTAATATAGAGCAGGAAATGGATAGGATGAAGCTAAATATGTTAGGCCTTTCAGAAGTTAAATGGGAGGGTGCAGGCTTGATTAAAAGAGGATCCAAAACAATTATATATTCAGGAGGAAAAACCCATGTAAGAGGAGTCGGAATTTTATTTGACGAAGCAACAGCAAAGAGCATCAAAGGTTTTTGGGGAGTTTAGGGATAGAGTCATCGTGGCTAAATTAGAGGGAAAACCTTTTGACATAGGTGTTATCCAAATAATAATATATGCACCAACATCAGAGCACGACAACGAGGAAATTGAGACTTTTTATGAAGATCTTGATAAGGCAATGAAACAGTTAAAATCACAAGATGTAAAGGTAGTCATGGGAGACTTTAATGCCAAAGTAGAAAGTACACGTATAGAAGATATAGTTGGGACATGGGGACTGGGTAAAGAGAATGAACGCGGGGAACGACTGGTAGAATGGTGCTGAGAAAATAATTTTATGACATCAAACACATGGTATGAAAATCACCTTAGAAGACGATGCACTTGGAAGAGTCCTGGCAATAGAAGTAAAAATCAAATAGACTTCATACTTATTAAGAAACGTTTTAGATATACAATAAAATCGTCCAAATCACAGTCAGGAGCAGACTGTGATAGTGACCATGTACCAGTCATCTGTAAAATGCGGATAGGACTGAAGAAACTCAAAAAGTCAAAGTATCAACCTGAATTTGTCATAAGTCTTTTAAAGACAAATCAAGAACAGAAAGAACGTTTCTCCATAGATGTAAGAAATACATTTCAAGCTTTGGAAAACATTACTAAATCGGAAGAACTATGGAGGAAAATGAAAGACTCAATAATGGAAGCGGTGGAAGAAAATATCCCCCAGAAAGCTAAAAAAGGTAATAAAATATGGATGACCTAGGACACATTAAAACTAATGGAAGAGAGAAGAAAGGCAAAATCAAATGTGGAAAGGTACATCTTAAACAGGGAAATAAAGAAAAAATGCCAGAAAGTAAAAGAAACAAGGATAAATGATCAGTGTCAACAAATAGAGAAGAACCAAAACAGAGACAGCAAATACATACATTCCAAAATCAAAGAAGTAAGTGGGATAAAAGGATGCTAAAATACAGGATGCATAACATCAAAGGGAGGGGATATTTTAATGGACAACGGGGATGTCTTAAACAGATGGTCACTGCGTTCGCTCAGAGCGATGTCGTCTGCGTTGGCAAGGCTTCTTACCGCCGTGCTTTGGTGCCCTTGCTGTCTTTATGCTCCTCTTGGTAGCCCTGACTATGTCGGTTTCTTCTGCCACTACACGGAAGAACTTCTTCATGTGGGCTTTTCTCTGTTTGTCAGTCTTGCCGTAGAAGGCATCATTTCGGGTCTTTTCGGGGGTCTGTTCTGGTCTTTTGGGGTCTTTTCGGGGGTCTTTTCGAGTCTTTTGGGTCTTTTCTGGGGGTCCTTTTTGGGGTTTTTTTGGTCTTTTGGGGTGTTTTTGGGTCTTTTCAGGTCTTTTTGGGTCTTTTCGGGGGGTCTTTTCGGGTCTTTTGGGGGGTCTTTTCGGGTCTTTTGGGGTTTTTTTTCGGGTCTTCTCGGTATAAATAAGTGCCGCTGTGAGAGTATACCTAAACCAGACCCTATCAGTGTATCAGAGAGTTTTTTTTCAATAACTGCAAAAAAACCTTTTCTAATTTAGGTTGCGTAATTGCTTGCCAATGGAAAACTTTTATTTTTTTCGTGAATATCTCTCTGTTACATTGATGGCAGCCTTGCCATCTAGATCTATGTTTCCTGAAAGTTTCATGTCGAAAGGATGAAAACTAAGGAAGGAGTAGGGAAAAAACAGCAAAAAATAACATTTTGCAAAAAACTACAATTATTGTGAAAATTGACTGTATTAAGCCACCCTCTTGTTTTCAAAGGCAATTTATGAGGGGAATAAAGACTTTCTCAATTGTTTCCATGCTATTTTTAGACAAAGAACTGGTTGATCTTCAAAAATCAACCAACATCTCAATTTGCATAGCCTGACTCAAAATCTGCAAAATCAAGGGTCGCTCCTGCCCTTAATATGTTTTACATTACTTAGCTTTCCTTTTATTCTTAGCCTTATATTATATTAAATTTTAGGTGTTGAATTAAATTTGGTCTTTCCTACACTTTGTTATCTCATCTTGTCAAACAGGTGTCTGTGGTCTAGTGGTTAGATGCTTTATCATAGCTTGCAGATGACATGAGTTCAATTTCTGTAATGGGAAGTTTTTTATCAAGTATCGCCGACTGTCTGCTAGGATGTTGTATCCCTCTTAGTTTCAGATCGGCAGGGTCGAAGCAGCTCCCCCCCCCCCCCCCCCCCCCAACTAAATGAGCTAAATTGTATTGACGGGGATGTAAAACAGCTACAAATACATTTTACAGAATTATTTCATTATCCCAAGGTTGCAAAGTTCTATCTGCTCAGTATTAAGTTTAGAGAAATCTGATGTTAAAATTTTTTTAATGCAGTTCTTTCAATATCTTGTTAACGACTCTGAATAATCTTACCATTTTGATAGGGCAGATAGAACATTTGTTTTCTGACGTCATGGCCTTTCTAAGCTAAAATGGCAAAAAATGTCAGAAAGAACTTTGTAAATATGAGGTCCTGATCTGTCAGTTCTCAGTCAATAGTGATAAAATATGTCATATTCTATACTATCTTAAATCTCATATTGCACCTTAACAATCATATTTTACTCTGTCCAAAACAGGCTATTTTCACTGTGGACATATCCCATCCTGACCCTGACATAACCCGTGATGAGATCGATCAACTTATCAGAGAAATGAATCAACTGTTTGACAACGCAACATTGAATGGAAAGTATGCCATGCCTCATGTGGGAGTGACAGATTACCTTTCTTATGGCTGGGGTGTCCCTAACTACCAGTGCCCAGCTCCAACTTATTATCAGCCATTTTCGGATGACTTTTTGTGTGGTATGTTTAAGCTGTCGTTAAGTTTTTTAGAATTTAAAAAAAAGTTTCCCTTCAGTATAGAATTACCTTTTCTTCAAGCTAAGCTGTATGTAATATTGCTTTATGTTTGATAATGTACAAGTTTTCTTTGCTTTCAAATTGCTTTGTATTTAGAAGTTTGTTACATGTTTTTATTTGACTTCAGCAAGTGTGTTTTGTAGCATTGAATGGAAAGTGTTATTACCTTTTCTTTTGACATACATCAGCTAATCATATTTCATGTCTAATTAGTAAGGAAGTTCTGTTAATAAACTATATTACGCGGGTGGTTGGCGGGTGCTCTGGTGTGGTTTGTTCCTTCTTTCCTTCAAGCATCTGCTGTCCTTATCTTTCCTCTTTTTTGTGTTTGTTACTCTCTTACTCTTGCAATACTTCTAATCTTCGGCACTTATATGACCTTATTGTGTTGCAAGTGCCGTAAAACTCTTACTAAAACTAAAACTATATTATTTTGTATCTTGGGCTTTTCCCCACGTTTTTCAAAGTGCTGTTTTCCTCTACAGGAAAAGGGAAAAATGAAAATGTGTCTATTTTTAAAGTGCTTTTTATCTCTGCAAACAGATAGGCTCTTGTTGTCCTGTTTCCCTTGTTCCCCTAAAATCAGTGCCACCATGCATATCCACTGCTATTGCTCCATCCGTCTCTTTAGTAGTGTTTGGGGTTTTTTCTCACCTATTTGGTAATGTTTTATCAACTCATTCGCTACGTATTATTTTCGGCTTGTGGACGAATTTTTTTCGGGAGGGCGAAATGAGATGATGACTAGTGCGCAGTTCACAGGTCTTGGGGGCCATAAATTCAAATAAATATCAATATATTATATACCAACATTTTCAGTATGATTTGTAGAATACATCTGTATTGTTTATTTCAGTATTTTTCAACTTTGGTTCCTGTAAGAGGCGATTATGCAACACAATTGTGATTGGCTGCGGATAAAATTTGAAAACAAAAAATTAATAATCTCAGATAAAACTCAAAAAATATGTTTGCACCTTGTCAAATTATACATCAAAATAACCATAACTGTATATAGAACAGGAAAATATTGAAAAAGGAGCAGTTATTTACATACATTCCATAATATTTGTACATTTGGATCATAACCTCCGATATTGAAAAAAAAAAGTTTTTTTTAATGATTTTGAAAAAAAAAAGGATCCCAAACAGAAAAAAACACTCGTATCTTATATGGAATTATTCAGAATTGCATTTGGAATAAATCTATACATGTATTGGGTGGTACTTTTTGAGTAAATTCACCAAAAAGTAGTGATTTTGGGCAGAAAAATGTTTTTTGACTATTTAGATCTAGGCCTAGATCTAGCCCTAAAAAATATTGCATTTCTCAATTACAGTGAACTGGCAATTTGAGTCCAGTAGTATCAATATTATAAAGAAAAGTCCTACATTTCTTTAGTGAGCAAAATAATGATACATTTTGTTGTGTAAAAGTACTAAGACTGGTGTCTGGGCTATAATTTGGGCTTCGCGATAAAACGATGTCGCGTAAACTTCGAAATCATGTTTCAAAACTGAATCAAAACTTCCGATTTTCTGTGGAAACGCTTGACCCGGAAGACAACTTTATATTATGACCTTTATTTTAACATGGATATGTGGATTGGAATAGAAACCAAGCTAAAATTGAACATCGGTTCTCGAGCCGCCATGGGCGGCTTAGCGTACTGACGGCACCTTTAGCCGCGCCGCCCTCCACGGCTCGGCGTAGCGAATTAGTTAAAATGTCTGTGCTTCTTTCTATTATGTGTAGTTCTCTTCAAAATTGCTTTCACTTATAAAATGGGGAGGAGTTATTAATTTTAGTAGTAGGCCTATAAGTGAAAGGTTCAATCTGGCCTTTTTGCAAATGTCTCAATGACGCAGTTTGATTTTTTTCCTTAAAATTTTTCTCATCTTTTCAATTTGGAGGGAAATCTCAGCTGGGGAAATTCACCAGAATATCCGTTTGAATAAATTCTTAATGTCTACCAGTAATGATCTTGCAATTTTCTTAAATTTGTCCACAGTTGGTTGTGGCAAGGGCTGGGTATATTCCCCCCATCAGACGTCCTGCAGTAAATGCCCTGTTGGTACCTACCAGCCAGAACTGGAGGGAGATGAGTGCCTTCCCTGCTTAAACAACTCTACAACACTGAGAGATGGGAGCACTTCTGAAGATCAATGTCTCGGTATGCACTTTTCACTTATGGGAAAAAGTCAAAAGTTGGAATGAGCTTTTCAGGACAACATCTGTTATTGCACTTAGTGATGAGCCTCTGTTTTGAAAAGATTTTGACTGAGCAGTTTTGGAAGAATATGGCCAGTAACATGGCATTTTGACCGAAAGAATTTTTACATAAGAAGACATATACTAAACATCAGATACATATTTTAATCCGTACTAGAGGTGAAGGTGACAAAATGTATGGTCTGCTCACTGGCTGTTCAAACACTAATTTTCTGACATGACTTTTTCCTCTTTGCAGTCTAGAGTGTAATTTTCTAAAGCCTCTGTTTGCCACAATAACAAGGTAGGCTTCCAGTTCAGACAATTCCTGGCCCTATTCACCCCATGCATGATAGGGAAAGGTGGAAAGTGTTTGTTCGTGGCCTATATCCTGATCAAGGGGGAGAAAGGCAATGATGATGATGAGGTGTAAAATATTTACAATCCAGGAAAAGTATTTTTCTAAACTGTCTCAACAACTCTTTCGATGCAGTAGTTTTGAAGCAGCAGCTTAGACTAGAAAATCTATGATGTCTGACTAAATTCCTTACTTTTTTAGACAAAGAAGTTTCTCTTTTTTTCTCCGTTTCAGTTTGAGTGTATACTATCATATTTTCAGACATGCTCACTCCTCAAGGCTCAGAGTATAATAGTATGTTGTGGGTTTTGCATGAGTTTACTCACCTTTCACTGAGGAGTAGTCACACAAGTCAAATTTTCTTACTTTCATTGCAATTATTATGCTTCAGTGAAAATTATCATTGTATAATGGGTGTGACCAACTTACACCAATTGGTGCATTATCTTTTTTCTCTTTCCATTCTAAAAAAATTTGTGCTTTTATTTTGACCCCTGGACAAAAAGCACTGCATTTATAATGACCTCTTCAGGTCCAGTAGGCTATAAAATTAAGAGCAAATGAAACAAGTTTCCTAATCAATTTTGTCAATTCTTGTTCTTTTTTAACTAAATGATAATAGATTGTTTTGACTGTATTTTCCGGCAGCTATCTGTCCTGCAGGAGCAACCTCCCCCAAGGGTTATCTCCCTTGTGACCCTTGCCCACTCGGCCAGTACCAGCCAGAGACTATGAAGGCAGCATGCCTACCTTGCCCTTTTGGAATGTTCTCTGACTCAAGGGGAGCCACTCAACTTTCTGACTGCAAATGTTAGTTGAACTTACTGTATACTGAAATGAGAAAGATCTTGTCAGTTTGTTAAGTGTTGGAGTGCTTAATCGGCTGTTTGCACTGTATGCTTCCCGGGAAGCTGAGAATGTTTGTTCTGAGTGTTATAGGGTCTGGTGGGGTAATGATTTTGTGTAAAGCGCATATAGAGCTTGCTGTCGAGCGGGGGTAGGCCTATGCGCTATACAAATCGTCGGTCGCCTGATAAAACCGTGAATTCCACAAATTTTCGAAACTCGTTTTTTTGCATTTTTTGATAGTGCTCGGTGAGATACATGTCCCTGTAAAACAATTTTTCAATTATCTCAACTCAAACGTGTAATCTGACGTAATAAGAAAATCGTGAATAAACACTGTGCCCCAAAAGTCGCCTGATGAAACCGTGAATCCCACACCTGTGTGGAATTCACGTTCTCATCAGTCGGTTTATGACTCGCGGGGCTGACCGTTGGCGCCGTGAACGCCTCTTTAGACAATTGAAATATGGGCGACTGCGTTGAGCAAACACATTGGTCGGTCAGTGTTCAGGGTTTCCAGGCCAAAGATTATAATTTATGATGTTGACTGTATGCGTTTTGCGGGAAAACCTCTCTATCACATAATTAAAAAGTGTATTTCCTAGATGTAGGACGGGTATTGTTTCACAACGACTATCAAATTCGAAGGTGTAATGTGTGTGCCCTCCTAGTAGTGGATATACAATTTTGATCGTTTGCAAAAAATAAATAATAAATAAATAAATAAATAAATCTAAAAATTGACGTAGTCAAGTATAAATTACAAGTATATTTCTGTGTTGTATCACAACCCAAACTTGTTTGACATTGAAAGCTCTTTGATTTGATATCAGAGTTCCCTAACAAGAAAAGGAATTTTGAGAAACCGAGCAATGTGAACCATTTTGGGCATCAAAGAAAGCTACAGAAAATACAGCACGGAAATAGTAGAAGAACCAGACTTCAACAAAGAAAAAGTATCATTCAAAGTAGACGATGCGTTGGAACAGATCAAAGGTGCTTCTTTAACCTCCGAGAGAGTAAGAGAGGAAGAGAGAGAGAGAGAGAGAGAGAGAGAGAGAGAGAGAGAGAGAGAGAGAGAGAGAGAGGGGGGGGCAGCAATAAGCAATACAAATCAAGAGATAGGACGATTAAAAAAACTATTGAACTGAAACCCAGATGTGATTGCTCAACAAAATCAATGGACTACTCACTAGTAAAAGACAACGCCTGAACAACTATCTGAACAACTATCTTTGCCTTTGTTTGGACTTTCTTTGACACGAGGAGACAGAATGTCCTATGTAAACGGTATTCTCAATGCAAAAAAAGTGCAATTTAAGCAAAGGCAATACACCAAGCTGAAAGATGCACACTTGGGTTTATTATCTGAAACAGAATGACCAGAAGATCAAAGTTTGCAGGATGTATATCTATGACCGGGCTTTCCCATTTTAAACTGCTCTAGATGAGCCCATGCCAGTTTCATCATCACCTGGCTCACCCCGTACGGACAAACACTTTCCACTATTCCCTACCCTGGGCTACCTTCTTCATATTTTTCAAATGTCTTTCCACTTTTCTGTTCATAATTCTCTGCGACTTTTCTACAGGTTTCACTTGGTTTTCCCTTGATCGTTTAAGCTGTTGACTCAAAATTAAAACGTTTGTGTTATGTAGCTGCCTGATTTCCAAATTGTATATTCAGTCCAATCCATCTCCACTGCTTTCTTGTCTGAAAATTTTCTGGCCATTTCTTCCTCATTGGTGACTCTGTCTGTCCATTCGATCCTGAGGATCTTCCTCAGGCACTTGTTGATGACAACCTGGATCCTCCAGAACCTGGATCCTCCAGCTGCACCACCAAACAATCCACAAGGGACGTGCAAGCCAATGAGTTTCTGTTCACATCTGTGGACATGCTTTTGAAGGCTCCCACTCACTATTGCCAGCAAAGCTCTGGAAAACTGTATCTTGATCCTTGATTCTGTAATCTGTCGGAGCTTGTAACCGCCTGCACTGGTCAGGGACAATCTGCCTTGTATGTCAGGCTACTCAAATATGTGCTAGAGGAAAAGAACATGTCGATCTATGAGTCAAAAAGAGATCAATGTGAATTGTGCGTGAGTTTTGAGTCTTGGCAGCGTCAGCCAGACTAAGTGAGAATCTCACATATCAGTAAAGAACATGACAAAGAAAGGGTATGCCATGAATAAAGCCTTTGCTCTTAGGCAAGAAGACCTTGTGATGATTTGCCTGAATCTTCAGGGTGTACTTTTGTCATTGTCTATTAATTCATCCAGCTCTTGTTACAGAAATATGCACATAACCTTCAATGCAACCTCGTTTGGTGCCATCCATTACTTATGAAAAAAGGCACAAGGTGGTTTGATTGCAAATGAATTCACAAGTTGTTTGATGGACAAATGCATCGAAGGTTATAACAATATATTCAATGTTATACAGCTACGGGTGTGTGTGTGTCTGTGTGTGCGTATCAGCACAAAATTGCATCTATTTCTAATGCCGTAGGTGCCCTCTCTACTATAGCAAACACCGAAATTGAACACAAAATCTTATTAAAGGCCACACTCATGCAAGTAGAAAATATGCACGGCGTCATTGAGCGACAGCTTTAAATAAAAGACATTTTCAGAACTGCAATTTTTATAATTATAGCAACGAACCTCCATGGTTTTGCCAAAATTGCAGTTAACAAAACTGTCAGGTCGGGTAGACAAAAAGAAGACCAAGCTGTTAAGGCAATATGAAGCCTCTGATATACATAAGGAGAAATTCTTTTCAGACTGAACTCTAACGAAGAGTGGGAGAGTCTTCTAAAGTCCAGAGACAAGAAAAACTTAACAAACAGTTCCCCACCACTGTATCATTCTACTTATAAACGGCAAAAAGTAATTTTCAGGATCTGAGAGACAAAAAGGGTAAGATAATGAAAGATGATCATTCAGACATTCAGGGGGTATAGAATTTTGACATAAATCAAGTTCTCAACCCATCCACCACCCTCTCCCCAAAGGAAATACACTTACATACAATTGGAGAAAGAAGGATAGAAAGAGAGAAAGTACGCAAATGAAGGAGTATGATTTCATAGATTACATACAATATCACATTCATGTAAGAGTGAGAGATGTTTATAGTGGTAAAATTATTAATAGCGTTCTGCCTCACTCAGTCTGAAATTTCATTCTCAGTTTAAAATTGGTCTTTTAAAATCTTTCTTATAACAGTATTTCGTGCTTTCATATATTTTTAAACATGCCAGGGCCTCAAATAAGAGAAAACACACTGCCTAATAACCGTGAATACAACACCGCGTTCCCAAAAGCCTACTGATGAAATCGTGAATTCCACACCTGTGTGGGATTCACGACCGCATCAGGCGAGATTCGAATATGAAAATCGTGAATCCCACACTTTTTTGAAAAAATGACCATCTACGGCAAAAAATGTACTACAGTATTATTTTTAAAAGGTAATTGATTAGATTTATCCATTTAGTTTATATATTGGACGCCAAATGAAAGAGAAAATCAGTTTTTTCCCTCTCCTGTAAAATTTGCTTCGTGTGGAATTCACGATTTTATCAGGCGACCGACGAAATACTATTTATTACTATTATAATTATTATTATTAAATAAGATTCCTAGCTAATATCCTTTTCTTCCCGTTCTGCAGTTAACTGCCATGTGTAGCTTTTATTGGTAGGCGGCAGCAGGTTATGTTCAGTTGTTGTAGTCCCAATGTCATGCTTTTTGTGTAGCTTTGTATGATAAACGTAAACATAAACAAAGCCTGTGGTCTAGACGGAGTAAAAGGGAGAGTGTTAAGAACTTGTTGTGAGCAACTGGCCCCGATATTTACCTTCATTTTTAACCTGACCCTACACAAAAACTACATTCCTACAATATGGAAAACATCGGAGG